AAAAAGTCATATTCTTCTTTGAGTCATAGATCTGATAGAAGAATTGGATTACAAACATATAAATCACACCACAAATTACACATAGTTAAGCTCAAAGTTATTCACAAAAAAGTTTCAAATGAAGGATTACTGAATATCTATTTATAGGCTTCAAAAGGGTTAGGAAAGCATACTCTAATCAACATTGAACAAGTGTAAAGGTGTATAACCGCTTTTGGAGGAACCACTTCAATCTGCATCAAAATCCTCTATGTGTTGAGGATGCTTCTAAATGAATGACTTAGAAATGACAGAATGTAAAGACAATAAGCATAATAAAATAAAAAAAGTAATGTAAACTATCCAATGCCACAACAACGTATAATGAAGAACAAGGTTAAAAAAGATTACAAGAATTTATAGTAAAGCAAGAACATAAACTAAAAATGCTTAAAAATACTTTAAATTGTAAAGCATAGTCAGTTTAGAGTAGATTGGATACCAAAACCTTAAACCTGATCACCTCTATTTATACCAACATTAGGTGGGGTAAATGAAAAATCTAGGAAACTAAGGGACAAAGTTTAGCTAAAGTCAACATAAAGTACAAAGCTTAGCTGAACTAATTTAATTAACCTAGAACTAAAGGTATAGAAACCATCCTGCCTTCAAAAGAGCATCAGATCTTGATCACCAAGTCACAAAAAGTTTGTTTCCATGCAGACTCCCTAGCTTACTGCATTAAGCTCTCCAAAAAGCTACTGCAACTAGTAGATTCCAATTAAGCATGATGGCTGGCACAAATAGCATGTCCACAAGGTTGAATTAGCCTTCCATAGGTTTAAAGCATGTAAATCACAACTTTTAGCTTCATGACACAACAAGTGAAAAATAAGATAACAAAAGACTCATACTTGGGATATTGAAGGAAATAAGCTAGTTTATAAGAGATGAAATAAGTGTTCATATATTGAATAATCAATGCATATTATCTCTATGTATATACATACTATGGTGTTGACTCCAAAAACAAACATGTTCTGTTGAGTGTTGGTAAGATCCAATTATAAGGGCAAATATGTTGTGTGAGCTTGTTTGGTTCCTAGATTTAAGTCATAAGAGCGAACATGTTGTGTGAGTTCACCGAGTAAGTAGACACTCTTCATAACATCGTTGCTTTGTGAAAGCGCTATTTTTAGATATGTGGAATATTTTAGATAAGAGCAAATTACAAATTTCGTCCCTATGGTCTTCGTGAAATTTTGGATTGGGTCCCTCAGACGAAATAATTACAGGGATGGTCATTGTGGTTTCATATTTGTTATGGATTAGGTCCCTCGTGTTAACAGTCGTTTAAGATCTCCATTAACTTCAAGATATTTTCATTTTTTTTTGTGTTATGAAACTTGTGATTTTTATGATGACCCGTTTTGCCAATTTCTAAGATTTGTGAAACTTCCTTTTCTTTCTCATCTTTTCCTCATATTCCTAGGAACAAAAACAGACCCAAAAACCATATCCAAAATCAAAACAAGAACAAAGATTCAATCCAGTAAAAATTAATTCAACAATAAAAACCCATTTTTAAATAAACAAAATCAACAATAAAAACCCATTTTTGAGGAATGAAATCAACAATACAAACCCATTTTTAAAGAACAAATCAACAACATACTTCATTTTTTTAGAACAACTCAACAACAAAAACTATCTTTGAAACCATTTGTCTGGTAGATATGGATTTTATATCATGACTCAACATGAAGAAAAAATCTTAATTAAGTAAAATCTCAAAAAATATATAATTTGTCAATAATATCAAATTTAATGATAACTCAAAAAACCACAGGGATTGGAGCAAAAGTTAAATAAGAGTCCAATAAAAGAAAAGATTTCAGATGACGAAAACGAAGACTTTAGTTTGATTCCGAGYTAACACAGGTAATATAACAGAATAATAAAGCAGAATAATAAAGCAGAGTAATAAAG